CCTATCTCAAAAAATATATATGCATATAATTAGTTATAGTAAATATATAAGCATGCATTTCCACCATTTCCAGTTGGTGAAAGTAATTTTGAGCCCCTTCACAATCTCACAAGGTCACCATCACATGTGTGGGCCACCCCTAACCAGATGGCCATGGCGGGGTGTGCGTCTGGACAAGGCTCTGCATCACGGGCTGTCCTGAGCTTGCTCATGGAACCCCGACTTCACAGGTGAGCACAGCAGTCTCAGGGACCCCACGCAAGCTCCCTCGGCCAGCAGGGCTGCAGCAGCGCGGTGTCTCAGTCGCTTCCCGCTCCCCTCTGCTGCTGACCTCTGAGCCCAGGCAGGAAGTACTCATGCCGGTGCCGGCTGGACGGGCAGCTCACAGTGGTCCTGCGGGATCCTCGAGCAGTCTGGCGCAGCTTAGGGCTAAGGAGAGGAAAGATGAACAGTGCTGACGTGTAGCTGACCAGACTGAGAAGCCAGAGTCGGGATTAGAACTCAGGTCTGCTGGGCTCCAGAAGGATACTTCACAGTGATGAAGGTGAGGGTGATGGAGACAGTGGTAACGCTGAGGACAGAGACTTTGCTATAGACTGAAATGAACTTTTATAGACTTAATTGTGTTCCCTCCCGAATTCGTATCTTCAAGTCCTAACTGCTTGACTTGCAGATAGAAATTTTGAGTGGTAGTGGTAGTTGAGTTAGACTGAGGCTTGAAGGGAGAGGAGCCTTAGCCTCCCACGACTTGCATCCTGACAGGAGGAAGGGGCGCAGAACTTAAGGGCGGAGGTCAGGGCCAGAGGAGGGGGCTGATTGTCCAGGGCGTCACTGCGGGCCACCATGCCAGCCTCCCCAGAGCCCCATCGCTTCCTGGCAGAGCCCATGGGGAAGAAGCTGGGGCCCTGGCTGGAGAAGTGCGGGACCCCAAGCCAAGGGGCAGGGCCCTTAGGTGCCTGTGGGCCGCTGTGGGCTTGGGGTACACGGAGAAGATGAGCACGTCATTGGTTTTATTAACTTTTTATTTTTATTATTTTTTAAATTTTATTTATGTGTGTGTGTGGCCAGCTCAGCCAGCCCACCAGGGGGCGGGGCTGGCTGGCATGTGGGGCTGGGGGATCGAACCGCGGTCCCTGTGCTTTAGCTAAGCTTGTTCTAAGTAGGTGCTTTAGACCACTGAGCCATCTCACCAGCCCAAACCCTGACTTTATTTTGCTTTGTTTTTTGCGGTACCGGGGATTGAACTAAGGACCTTGCACTTGCCAGGCAGGCGCTTATTCTACTGAGCTATCTCCCCGGCTTTATTAACTTTTTTGATCCATCGTTTTAGTATCCTTCACAGAAAGAAGAGGAGGAGGAAGTAGAAGGGAAGATGAGAAGATGTCAAGGAAGGCAAAGTGGGAGACAGGGAGGGCTGGAGGAGGAAGAAGAAGGCAAAGAGAAGGCAGAAGAGAGAGACAGGGAGAGGGAGGGGAGGGGGAGGGGAGAGTGAGGGGAGGGGGAGCCCCAGGTAGGCAGCAAGGCCCTGGGAGGTCTCAGGACAGCGTATGAGGCTCCAAGTCAGGCTGAGGCTCCAGGGAAAATCAATTCTGCTGCTGTTGGGTGACCTGGGACTTCAGCCTTCAGAGCCCCGAGGAACGCATTTCTGTGCCTTCGCCACCCAGTGTGGCCCTGGGCTGGCACAGCCCTTGCAGCTAATGTAGCAGTGGTAACAATGGCAGCTGCGCGGGGTGATCTGTGGTTGAATCCCCCTTGAATGTTCAAGGCCCCGCGCACTGGAGTTTGCAGAGCACTTTTCTACTTCTGTTTTCCAGTCAGGGTCTCACTGTGCAGCCCAGGCTGGCCTTGGACTCCCAGCAATCCTCCTGCCTCAGCCTCCCAGGTGCTGAGCTTATAGGTCTGGGCAACCATGTCTGGCTGTACAGAAGACTTTTGTGGGCGTGGGGCACTGGGAATCGAACTCAGGACCTCACAGCGTGCCAGGCAGTCACTGCGCCACAGAGCTAAATCCCTGGCCCACAGAACACTTTTAGATGTGTTGTCTGCCGTGCTCGGGACCCTGACAGTCTCCAAAGGCATGTGTTGAGGGTTTGGGCCCAATGGGAGAAAGAGAAGGCGGGCTCTTGGATGGATTCCTAACCCATGGCATTGGTGAGAGGCGACAGCGACTCAGGGTGGGGCCTCCTGGAAGGGCCTGGGCCACTGGGACGCAAACTGGGGGCTCTGTCTGTCCCCCAGCCTTCCCTCGCTGCTCCCTGGATGCTGTCAGGTGAGCAGATAGCCTGTTTTGAGGTTCTTGCCTTGTTACATCTAAAGGCAACGGAAAGGGCCGGGGGTGGCTAGCTCAGCAGCATGAGTACCTGCCCAGCAAGGGCAAGGTCCTGAGTTCCATCCCTCGTACCAAAATAAATAAATAAATGCGATGCAGCCAGCCTACCACGGAGCACTCCTCTCCCCAGAAGTCAGATTTCTGGCCCTGAGACATAGCTGGCCCACACCTGCAGGTTGAAGCCCAGAAGTCCAGTCTGGGCCATAGTCTCAGGCCCTTCGGCTGTGCTCAGCGAGTCCTAAGGCAGAAACACCATGAGGGAGGAGCACAGAAAGAGACCGGGCTGGGAGGAGGCCCCCAGCCGCATGACCGGAACCGCCCTGACACACCAAAGCGTGCCTTGTACCCTGCTGTGCCAAGATGACACCAGCAAGCTTAGCCCCCGCGCTCCTTCATGTTGTCCTGCTCAGGCACTTTGTCTCAGCAGCGGCGCACTGGCTGGCGCTTTTTCCTCTCGTGCCTCGCACAGATCCCCATTTTAGATGAGGAGGCCGAGTTCATGGCCTTGGAACAATTCTCATCCGCCAGGGTCCTGGCAGCTGAACCGGAAACTGTTTCCAGGGATGAGGGTTTGATTCCTGGCAAAAATCAGCTGTGGTGGCTCACGCCTGTAATCCAGGGCTGGGGAGCCTGAAAACAGGATTACTGCAAGTCTACGCTGGGCAGTGAGACCCTGTACCTAATACATTAAAGGTGAAGAGATCTGCTTTCACTACTGATGTTCCTACTCATCAACCGCACTGGAAAGATTTGGAAGCCAGGCGTTGGAGCACATGGCTGTCACGCCAGCAGCCTCAAAGGCTGAGGCAGGAAGATTGCAAGTTCAAGCAATAATAAAGGATCCAGGGCTGGTAAGATGGCTCAGTGGTCTAAAGCACCTACTTAGAACAAGCTAGGCAGGGGCTGGTGAGATGGCTCAATGGTCTAAACCACGTACTTAGAACAAGCTTAGCAAAACCCAGGGATAAGCGCTTCCCTGGCAAGGGCAAGGGCAAGGGCCTGAGTTCAATCCCCAGTTCCGCAAAAAGAAGAAAAAAAAAATAAATAAATAATTAAAAAAAATAAATAAAGTATCCAGATGGAGCTCAATGTGGACACCGGATTCCATCCCCAATACTGGGGATCAACCCAACTTGGACCAAACCTTCAAAACTCCTTAAAGGAAAGAAGGAAAAATCTGAAAAGCTCAGCAGTACCTCATAAATTTAAAAATTTCATTCTTGATTATCACCCAGGACAAATGAAAATATACTTCCATAGTATGCAAAAGTTCCTAACAGCTTTATTAAAATCATCAAAGAGGGGCCGGGGAGATGGCTCAGTAGGATAAGTGCTTGCCTGGCAAGCGCAAGGGTCTGAGTTCAATCCCCGGTTCTGAAAAAAAAAAAAAAAAAAAAAAAATCCATCGGTCATGTATAAACTGTGGGTGGTCCACACAATGCAGTATAGTTTAGCAATAAAAGGTAATGACCGGGCCTGGTGAGATGGCTCAGTGGTCTAAAGCACCTACTTAGAACAAGCTTAGCAAAGCACAGGGACCGCAGTTCAATCCCCAGCACCACATGCCAGCCGCCCCGCCCCCTGGTGGGCTGAGCTGGCCACACACACACACACATAAATAAATAAATTAAAAAAAAAAAAAAGGTAATGACCAACCCCGAGTAATGGCGCACCCCTGTCGTCCCAGCTACTTAGGAAGCTAAAACAGGAGGCCCCAGTCTTAAAAAATAAAAAGGGTTGGGGGGGGGGGGTGTAGCTCAGTACAAAGGCTGTAGGTACAATCGAGAAAGCTAAGAGACTCGGGTTTGGCTGTGCACACCTGTAATCCCAGCCCGAGGCAGGAGGAGCATCACGAGTTCGAGACCAGCCTGAGCTAAAAAGTGAGCTCGAGGCCAGCCTAAACTGCTTAGAGAGGCCCTGTCTCAAAAAGACAAAAAAGAGAGGGGCAGGCAGCTAATATGCAGTGTAATAAAAATAAATGTATGCGATGTGTAAAAAATGAGTGAATAAAAAAATTAGCGATCATCTCGCGTTCGAGCGACTCTCCCGCCTCTGTCGCGCGCCCTCTGCCGGTGAGCGGCTCCCCCCGTATTTTTTTTTTTTTTAATTTTATTTATTTATTTATTTGAGAGAGAGAGAGAGAGAGAGAGAGAGAGGCCAGCTCAGCCCACCAGGGGGCGGGCTGGCTGGCATGTGGTGCTGGGGGATTGAACCGCGGTCCCTGATGCTTTTGCTAAGCTTGTTCTAAGTAGGTGCTTTAGACCACTGAGCCATCTCTCCAGCCCCCAGACCAACTTTGCTAAGAGTGCCTTTGCGGAAGTCACTCGCACTGCTTTCTGGGGAATGGAGTCTTCTGGGAGCTTCGTCTGCGTTTCCGTCAGTCCTGACTGCAACAGGAAGTACGTCACCAAATTTCCCTCGTCGCCCAAGTGATAGCAAGTGGTATGGCATGCCGGGAGTGGTAATCCTTTAATAACTGGTTTCCACTGTGACCCGCCGCAATTGGACCCATTTCCACCATGCACTGTGCTCACTGTGTTCACAGTTCCTGAGGCTGGTCCCGATGCACTTCGGGAAGTGTAGTCCATAGTTTCTGCTCTTCGTGTATTTTGTGGAATTGGCCTGCGCAAAGGACGCCATCTCCCGGCATCCCCAAGTACCCCAAGGGGCGTCAGGTCGCGGCGGCCATTTTGTTCCGCCCGGAGTGCCCCTAAGATGGCGGCAAGGGAGACGGTGAAGGTTGTTACCTGCTCCTCCGGGCTGTAACTGCCGGCTCCCTGTCCCCCCACAGCCGGCCCATGGCCTGACGGCGGCCCAGACCATGGACCTCCACACCGCCGTGTACAATGCCGCTCACGACGGCAAGCTGCAGCTGCTCCAAAAGCTGCTTAGCGGCCGGAGCCGGGAGGAGCTTGAAGAGCTGATGGGCGAGGTGGCGACCGGGGGGACGCCGCTGCTCATCGCCGCCCGCTACGGCCACCTGGACGTGGTGGAATACCTGGTGGACCGGTGCGGCGCGAGCGTGGAGGCCGGCGGCTCGGTGCACTTCGACGGCGAGACCATCGAGGGCGCGCCGCCGCTGTGGGCCGCCTCGGCCGCCGGCCACCTGGACGTGGTGCGGAGCCTGCTGCAGCGCGGGGCCTCGGTGAACCGCACCACGCGCACCAACTCCACGCCGCTGCGCGCCGCCTGCTTCGACGGCCACCTCGAGGTGGTGCGCTACCTGGTGGGCGAGCACCAGGCCGACCTGGAGGTCGCCAACCGGCACGGCCACACGTGCCTCATGATCTCGTGCTACAAGGGCCACCGCGAGATCGCGCGCTACCTGCTGGAGCAGGGCGCGCAGGTGAACCGGCGCAGCGCCAAGGGCAACACGGCCCTGCACGACTGCGCCGAGTCCGGCAGCCTAGAGATCCTGCAGCTGCTGCTGGGCTGCAACGCCCGCATGGAGCGCGACGGCTACGGCATGACGCCCCTGCTGGCGGCCAGCGTGACCGGCCACACCAACATCGTGGAATACCTGATTCAGGAGCAGCCTGGAGAGCAGCCCCGCGCAGGGCCACCCCAGGAAGGCTGCTCCACCAGCCAGGGCGGCCTGCAGGGCGCTCGCACCTGCGGCTCCTCCGCAGAGGAGCAAGGCAACGGTGAATCCTACGAAAGCTGCTGCCCCACCAGCAGGGAGGCCGCCGTGGAAGCCTTGGAGTTGCTGGGAGCCACTTACGTGGATAAGAAGCGTGATCTGCTGGGGGCCCTTAAGCACTGGAGACGCGCCATGGAGCTGCGGCACCAGGGGGGCGAGTATTTGCCCAAACCCGAGCCCCAGCAGCTGGTCCTGGCCTATGACTATTCCAGGGAGGTGAACACCTCGCAAGAGCTGGAAGCGCTGATCACAGACCCGGATGAGATGCGAATGCAGGCCCTGCTCATCCGAGAGCGCATCCTGGGCCCCTCGCACCCGGACACGTCCTATTACATCCGCTACCGAGGCGCGGTGTATGCTGACTCGGGCAACTTCGAGCGCTGCATCCGCCTGTGGAAGTATGCCCTAGACATGCAGCAAACCAACCTGGAGCCCCTGAGCCCCATGACCGCCAGCAGCTTCCTGTCCTTTGCTGAACTCTTCTCCTACGTGCTGCAGGATCGGGCAGCCAAGGGCAGCCAGGGCACGCAGATCGGCTTCACAGATCTCATGGGGGTGCTCACCAAAGGGGTGCGGGAGGTAGAGCGCGCCCTGCAGCTGCCCAAGGATCCCGGAGACTCGGCCCAATTCACCAAGGCGCTGGCCATCATCCTGCACCTCCTCTACCTGCTGGGGAAGGTGGAGTGCAGCCCCAGCCAGGAGCACCTGAAGCACCAGACTGTCTACCGCCTGCTCAAGTGCGCGCCCCGAGGCCGCAACGGCTTCACGCCCCTGCACATGGCAGTGGACAAGGAGACCACCAACGTGGGCCGCTACCGCGTGGGCACCTTCCCCTCCCTGCATGTGGTCAAAGTGCTGCTGGACTGCGGGGCTGACCCGGACAGCAGGGACTTTGACAACAACACGCCGCTGCACATTGCGGCCCAGAACAACTGCCCGGCCATCATGAACACCCTGATCGAGGCCGGAGCCCACATGGATGCCACCAACGCCTTCAAGAAGACGGCTTACGAGCTACTTGACGAGAAGCTGCTGGCCAGGAGCTCCGTGCAGCCTTTCAACTATGTCACCCTGCAGTGCCTGGCCGCCCGCGCCCTGGACAGGAACAAGATCCCCTACAAAGGCTTCATCCCGGAGGAGCTAGAGGCTTTCATCGAGCTGCACTGATCTCGCCCTGCCCAGAGGGGAGAGAAGGGTGGAGAGCCCGCCTCCTTGCTCCTCCGCCTGCCCGTGAGGCAGAGGGCAGGGCCTGGCTGAGCTGTTGCCACCGGGAGCTTTCAGGGTCCTGTGCTGAGAAGGGTTGCTCAGGGAGCCCAGCCACCCGTCCTGAAGGGAAGCAGACACGGCCCCGTGCTGTCGCCTGGGTGTGGTAGGAGCTTGGCCTCGGGCTGAGACACAGGTTGGCCCACAGCTGGCACCCACTCCTGGGTCCAGGTACCAGCACAGTCCTAGGACTGGGCCTCTAGAAGTCGGGAAGTCCAGAAGCAGGGCCACTCTGGAGTCCCCCAGCACCGTCACACCGTGGGCCCCTGTGCCCCGCGTCATGTGCGGCTGGTTTAATGTTTACTTAGTGATCCGGCAGCTTACTGGCACTGCACATGCACTCTGAGAAGTTGCTGCCTTTATTTTTCTTAGGAATCTTGCCACACTTGTAGTTCATGCCAGGGCCTGAGGGTTTTTCAGCGGCCGAGGCACGCGTGGTGGCAGGGACCTGGTGAGTGAGGTCAGGAGTCGCTGCAGCGCGGGCACAGCACACAGCCGTGTGTCTGCACCGGCCTTCCAGCCTTGCACTCAAGGGAAGCAACCTCGCTCACCAGGAAGGCAGTCGGGCGCCCAGGACTGGCGGCAAAACTTGACCAGTTTGCTGTCCTGCGTGGTTCCCGTGGGTCTGCTCGTCACTGTCCAAGTGATGATAGACTCCTCTGCTGGAAAGCCCAAACCTATCACTGTGGGTGCCTGGACAGGTGGCCTTGCCAGGCCCTCGCCTGCTCCGGGGACCTGAGCCCAGGATTTCTGAGAAAGGCACAAGGACGGCACGCTCAGCGAGGCTGGCCAAGACCGTGGACGTCCGGCTGCCTGCTGAGGGCTCCACAGAGCCAAAGGCTAGAGCAAGAGCGAGCCGAGGTCGGAGGCGGGCCGCAGGCTGGCCTTCCATCCCTCTGGGTGGTGGGTGCGGGAGGACCTGCCCCATGCCTTCACCCCGGGAACAAGGTCAGCAGTGCCCGCACCTCCCAGGGTCACGAAGGCCCCAGCCCCTAAGGGTCCCAGACACAGGCCCGAGAAGGCGGCCAGGCGTAGATTTGCAGTGTTCGCTAGGAAATGAGTTACTGCTGAGACAGGCTTCGACTTCCCAGGAGGGCGCGCCACTCCCGGCCCTTCCAGAGCACAGCAGGCAGCCAAGAGCTGCGGTCTCCCAGCTATGTTGTGGCATTAAAGGAGATTACTGGAAGAGAACTCTCCACCTGGTGCTTCCTTGGGGCCCGGGTGGGGCTGCTGTGTGGTTGGGAAGCACGGGGTGGGACCCAGCTGCTGCTGCTGGTGAGGCCTTCCCAACGCGAGGCCCTGCGCTCCAGCCCTCCAGCCCAGAGCACCGTGAGCAGCCAGCCTGGGGCCGCGCCCCTGTCGGCCCAGCGCTCCAGAGGGCCCAGGGCGGGGGTGGCCGTGAGTTCCAGGCCAGCCTGCGCTATGCACACTGAGAGAGCCTGCCTCACGCCACCAAGTAAAGTAGAACACGCCTAAGTAGTCCTGAGCAGAGCTTCCGGCTGCCACGCCCAGAATGGGGCGCTTGACTCAAAGCCTGGGGCCTGAAGAAGCCAGGGCAGGGCTGGAGGGAGGCCGCCATGCTGACAGCTCCCGCCATAGTCGCACCTGCCCGGGGACAAGATGGCTTGCTGAGGCCGGTGGGCACACTGCTGCCACTGAGAGCCACAAAGGGACTGAGGACTCTTGGGTCTTTGGGGTTTGTTGTCACCTAGTTCTTTAGGGGCCAGACTGCCAGTAGGTGACCCAGCCACAGTGTGACCACCTGGTCAGGTGCGGAAGAGGAGACCTCTCCAGCTGCAGGAACCTCCCAAGGTTCTGATGGCACAGGCCTGGTCACGTGGCTTCCCCTCAGCCAGTTAGGAGCCCAGGCTGGGCTGCACTGGTTGCAGGGCTGGGGGTGCAGGGGCCTTGGGGCCCTGTGGAAATGGGGAAATAAGCGTGCACACCTACGCCCTCTATGGGCGGGCTGAGGCAGGAGGGGCTGCCAGTTTGAGCCCAGCATGGGTGACCTAGCAAAACTGTCTCAAAGTAAGAAGGGCTGATAGCTCAGTGTGAAGGTCTGGGTTGGAGCCACAATCCACTGAAAAAACAAAGTTACATTAAAATTAATATTTGAGATTTATCAAGGAAGGAAATCGCCCTCTGAGAGGTCACAAGGCCATACAGCCATCTGTAAGTCGCAAACCCAGCCCAGAAAGGACTGATGGGCCAATGGGCCCGCCTGTCACGCGCACACACGGGAGGCTGAGGCAGGAGGATTGCTGCAAGCACCAGCCTGGACTGCGTAGTGAGACTGTTTCAGAAGCTCACCAATTAGGGGCTGGGAAGATGGCTCAGTAGAATAAGCGCTTGCCTGGCAAGCACAAGGGCCTGAGTTCAATCCCCGGTGCCACCAAAAAAAAAAAAAAAAGCTCACCAGTGGGGCTGGGCATGCAGCCAGTGACTACAGGAGGGACTGCACTGGCCAGGATCTCGGCTGACACACGAGGGCTGTTTACGGGGCTGCAACCCGGGCTCGGGTTAAAGATAGCCATCTGAGTCATATCCCTGATGGGGCTGGGGACAGAGAGGTGACCCCCCAGGACAGCTGGAGCATCGGACCTGTGCCCTGCCAGCAAGGGGGCAGGGCGCGGAAGCCTTTGGGAGCGGGGGGGGGGTGTCAGGGTGCCTCGAGCTAGCAGAGTCATGTTGGCGAGGCTTGGCCCGCCTGCTGGGAAAGCGTCCTCTTCAGGACCACAGCTGGTGTCAGCTGCAGGGGAGGCGCTGCCCGCTAGCACAGAGCCTGGCCCTGAGGTCTTCCCAGTCCTACTAGGCAGTGATCTTGTTAAAGTGGCGAAAGTCACCCCCAGGAGGCCCTCTGGGGTCCCCGGCCACCCAACTGTAGCACAGCTGTGTTCTGTGTTCCAGTGTTCTGCCTCTCAGGCTCCCCTCCCCCCCAATCCCCAGCCCTCCTTTTTAAATTTTCAGACAGGGTTTCGCTAAATTGCTGTGTAGCCCAGGCCAGGCACCTATGTGTGATCCTCCTATTTCAGCCTCCCTCAGGGTTGGGGTTTCAGGCAGGAACCACCACACCTGACTTAAATAAAGCCTATTTAAGAAGAGTATTGAGGGGTCAGGGAGATGGCTCAGTGGAGTAAGCGCTTCCTTGGCAAGCGCAAGGGACTGAGTTCAATCCCTGGTTCGGCAAAAAAAAAAAAAAAGAGTATTGAATTGGCAGGGTCGGCGAGATAGCTCAGAGGACTAAGCACCTGCTTAGGCAAGCACAAGGACCCGGGTTCAGTCCCCAGCACTACATGCTGAGCTGGCCAGTGACACTCGCCTCGGTGGTGCACGCCTGTAATCCCAGCGCTGGGGAGGCTGAAAACAGGAGGATCACTATGAGTCTGAGCTGCGTAGTGAGACCCTATACCAAGTACATTTTAAAAAATAAAGAATTAAGTGGCGTGTGATGGGAAATGAGCAAGATCCTAGGATGGGACCCAGGTAACCAGAGTTTAGAGTCAGCCAGGCAGCTGTGTGCTGAGGACAGGGACAGAAGGGTGGGCCAGGGCCAGGGAGGGCTCCGCTACTGGGGTGCAGGGCCTGGTGGGGCTTCCTGAGAGTGCCAGGCCGCACCTTCTCTGGAGGGAAAAACACCCTTCTGCTTCCTTGGGAAACTGGAAACCACAGCATCCTCCCACAGCTATAATAAGGCCTGGATTGCAACACAGGTTAAAAATAAAAGTTCAGTGCCCAGGGCATTCAGGGATGACAGCTGCGGCCTGGGCTCGCCAGGAGGCACCATGTGTCTGGAGAAGCAGGAGGACTTGCTGTGTGACCTCAGGCAGTAGTTTGCCCTCTCTGGGCTCCAGTCCTGGCCAGGAAATAAGAGGGCGGGGTTCCACTTACTAATACGCAAAACCCTGGCACGTCCAGCCTGAATGTGACTTTGGAAGATGGTGCCAAGCCTGTGACTCTGTTTCCTCTTTTGTAAAATGGTCCAAAGAGCGCCACAGTTGCTTGTGAGTGGGGCCTTGATGGTTGGGGTCAGCCAAGCATGACAGGGCACCTTATCCCAGCACTCAGGAGGCTGAGGCAGGAGGATCGCCAGGAGTTTGAGGTCTGTTTGGGCTACATAGTGAGTTCAAGGGTAGCCTGAAATACATAGCAAGACCCTAGCTCCAAAAAATAATAGTTAAAAAAAACTTGGAAAGGAAAAAAACAACTAAAAAAATGGATGCTTGGGATCCTCAGGCTGAGGTTGCTGCAGGAAAGGGGCTTTGGTGCGGCACAGAAGGCGACCCTGTTCCTGATCCCAGAAGCCCAGGAGAGATCCGCTTACCCCGAAAGGAGCAGGACAGGCTGGAAACTGCCGTGCGCGCCTCCGCCTAGTGGCGGCATCTGCGCACTGCAGCACCTCTGCTTCCAACGGTAACCCACGTGTCACCATCCTCAGGTCTTGGGGGACAGAAGGCCTGTACCCTTGCTGACGGCGCTGACTCACCTCAGCCCCACAGAGGCCGCCCAAATCCTCCCACTGCTGCCGGGACTTTGCTCCACGGGACTGTCATCACCCATATTTCCCACCCGGGACCTCACCGACAGCCGCCAGCTCTCCCCCTGCCTCCGCTTGTGCGAGGACCCAGGACAGCACCCTGGCACGCAGCAGGTGCTCACCGTGCACTGCAGTGAGATTGAACAAACGTGGAGCGGGGGAGATTGCTCAGTAGAATAAGCGCTTCCCTGATAAGAGCAAGGATCTGAGTTCAATCCTTGAAAAAAAAAAAAAAAAAAAAAAAAAAAAAAAAAAAAAAAAAAAAATGAACGAACAAAGGGGAGATCTGCCAGCCACAGAAGGGAACAGTCGAGAGCAGAGCCTAGGCCAGGGAGGTGGCTCAGTGGAATAAGTGCTTCCCTGGCAAGCGCAAGCGCCTGAGTTCAATCCCCGGTTCGGCAAAAAAAGGAGAAGGAGAAGGAGAAGAAGAATACATTTCCGGGCTGGGGAGATGGCTCCGTGGAATAAGCGCTTCCCTGGCAAACGCAAGGGCCTGAGTTCAATCCCCGGTTCAAAAAAAAAAAAGAGCAGAGCCTAGCAAGGTGGTGCATGCCTGTGATCCCAGCACTCTGGGAGGCTGGGTCAGGAGCACCTCAAGTTCTGGCCCATCCTGGGCCACCTAAGAAATTAGCCTCTGTCTCAAATTTTTAAAATGCCTGGGGATGGAGCACAGGGCCAAAGCTCTGGTTTCAATTCACAAGTGAAAATACACACTTGCACATGACCTTTAAGTGGAGCGTTTGTTGCGCCTGCTGTGTGCCCGGCACCAGGGCTGCAGAGAGGGACAGGAAGCCCTGCCCTCCACGGGGAAGCAGGGGGGACGGCGTGGGTGACAGATGAGTGAATCTAGTTTGTCGCAAACTGTGAATGCCAGAGGAACGCCGGGCAGCCCTGGGGAATTCCGACGGGCGTGATTTCAAGTGACTCTTAAATCGGGTGCTCAGAGAAACCTCATTACAGGAAGGAAGGGAAGGAGCCACGGCGACTTCTGGGAGAACACCACCGGGAGCGGGCGCAGCCCGTGCAGAGGCCGGGGCAGGGCGGCGCAGCGAGGCCGCGTGCGGAGGCCCAGCGGGTGCAGAGCCGACCGCGCCCGGCGGGCCAGCATCCCGCAGCAAAAGCCGCGGGGAGGAAACGCGAGCCACGCGCATGGGCGGAGCCCAATGGCACCGCGGCAGCCTGGGCTTCCTCCTCTCCGCGATGGGCTTTCACTTCCCCGCCGAGGCCCGGCCGCAAGTCACGCTGACCGCCGAGGCCGGTGGGGGTGTCCCGGGCCCTTTTGCACTTTGAGTCCGAGGCCGGCCTGGCTGGCCAGGTGTCCTAGGCTGGGCTGGAACTTAGGCTCCTAAGCCGCTGTGACACGGGTGAGAGCCAAGGGGCGCGCCCTGACGGGGTGGCCGCCAGGGGGCGCAGAGCTGCAGGGCCCATCGCTGCCCCTAGAGGCAAACTGCCCTCTTTGGGTTTGGGGTGGGGGGAGGTCCTCTTTGTTTGGGGATTTTGGTTTGGTTTTTTCTGGTGGTTTTTTTTTTTTTTTTTTTCATTTATGTACAACATAGTCTCACTACACAACTTGGACTGGTAGTTTGTTTGGTGGAACCAGGGATTGAACTGAGACCCTTCTGCTTGTGGGGGAAGCGCTTATTCCACTGAGCCATCTCCCCGGCCCCTTTTTTGACTCGTAATGATCCTCCTGTTTTAAGCCTCCCCAGCGCTGGGATTACAGGCCTGTGCCACCATACCTGGACTCTGGGCTCAGTGCACCCTGGGGGCTCCGCCGGCAAGGCATGTGGGACCAGGGATCAAACCCTGGTGCCTGAGCTTGCTACAGCAGGCGCTTAGTCAGCTGAGCTATCTCACTGCTGTTGTTGTTGTTTTGGGGGGGACAAGGTTTTGGGTGTGTGTGTGTGTGTGTGTGTGTGTGTGTTGCAATAGAGTCCCGCTATATAGCCCAGGCTGCCCTTGAATTTTTGGTGATCCTTCTGAGTGCTGGGATTGCAGGCGAGCACCACCACTCTATCAACTTGGTTCCCCCTCCCAGAACCTTCCTCTCATCCCATCACACTGATCATCGAGGGTCCCCTCGGGCTCCCACAGTGCTGATCACCCCTATACCTGCTGAGCATGGCCGCCTCCTGCACACAGCAGGCGCACAATAGTGGTTGGTCTGAAGAGTGGGCCCTTGTAGAGCGCTGACCATGTGCCCTGGTTCAAGCTGGGTTCTGAGCTATTCGAAGAGCCGGAGACACCTGCCCCCTACCCTTGGGGCATGTCCTGTGTTGTGAGAAATCTTCAGGTAACACTCAACTGACCCCACCGCTGGGAGGCTGAAGCAGGAGGATCTCAAGTCTGCCCTCACCCCTTCACGGCTCCCACCTGTCTGGTCCTCCTACAGCCTGCAGGGCCCTGTGTGGCCAGCCTGCTATCCCCTCTCCACCTCCCCTGCTCCCTCTCTGCCCTTCCCTTCCCTTCCAGCCTGAGGGCTGAGAGTGAATCAAGCCAGTTTTCATCCACACCCAACACCTAGGCATACAGTAGCTGCTTAATAAATGCTGGTCACGCCACCACACTCCAGAATCAAATCATAGAGGCTCTGTTCACCAGGTGTCACTTCAGGGCCACTGGGAGAGCCAGGACTGTGGTGCAGTCTCTATTGGGGATGAAAACAGGAAGCATTCTGGGGCTGTCCCGTGACTCACACTAGGCCCGCCCTGGGGTGCAGGGCCATGGAGCAAAGGGCCTTTGATCACAGAGCTCTAGGCCAAGTCCGAGTGCACCCTCCAAGAGCCTCTTCCTTTCCTTCTTGGAAATGTTTTCATCCTATGTGCTCAATTTCTAATCTAGGGGACGGTGGGGACTGGCATTCACTCTTTTGGGCTTCTGTTTTATTCATCTGAAAAACAGGCTCGGATTCACAGCACTTCTCTTGTGGGACCATTTGGAATTTTTTTTTTTGTTTTTTTGCTCCTCGAATGCCTTCAGGGCACTTTTGGCTGGCTGGAGGGTTGTGGGGATCCAACTAGAATAAGCTGAGGTTGACAGCTTTGTGGAAGCAGCCACTTAAAGAACTGAGCTAGAGCCAGGCCCCCTTGTGGGACCATTTGGAACACAGAAACGTGTTTATGTGTTGAAGCCTCAAAAGTAGATTCCTGCTAGAATGGTGGTGGATGCGTGTAATCCCAGCATTCAGGAGGGTCAGAATCACTGAGTTCAAGGCCACCCTGGGTTACATAGTTACAGAAGGACTTATTGGAAGACACTTGGCCTTCCCAAAGACTACATCTCCCAGCATGGTTTGCAAATATAACTTTATTCTGGCCAATGAGATAAGGTCAGGGTGTTCAACTTTGGCTTCTGCCCTTGAAGCAGCTGCTCCTCACTCCTTCCTGCTGGTTCCCTTCCTAGGGTGAGGGGACCCTGGACACACAACAGAGAACTGTGGCTCCAAACAATCATTCAATAAATATTTATTAACAATTAAAAGTTACGGGGCCAGGGAGATAGCTCAGTAGAATAAGCGCTTGCCTGGCAAGCAGAAAAAAAAGAAAAAGAAAAAAAAAATTAAAAGTTACCTACAGTATCTCCCACCAAGTCCTCCACCCAGAATTATTAGATTGGCGCTACAGACACTGTACAGGGCCATCTGCCTTCCTGGCACGCCCCCACCCCCACGTCCAAGTGCCGGACATGGAGCCCAGGACATTCACAGTGAGCTGCACCTCCAGCCCTGTTTTTTAATTTTTGAGACAAGGTCTCACTAAGTTACCCACTCCAGGCTCAAACTTTCAGCCCTCCTGCCTCACCCTTCTAGATGGCTGCGGTGGCAGGTGTGCACCTCCAGGCCTGGCTCCTCTGGGCTTTATATCCTGAGAAATGATGGTCCTCCTGGGCCAGGTCTTAAAAGTGGCAAATGATCCCATCTGCCCAAATGACACTGGGAATGTCCTGCCCAAAGCCGGTGCCGGGATGGTGGCGTGGTCCCCAGGGGCTCAGGCCTGATCACACAGCCTCTCTGCCTCTTGCTCCTTGTCCTCTGGGGCTGGGACTCTTCTCTGGTTCCACATGTGATTGTTCACTCCCACCTGCACCATCTGGGCATGGTGGATAATGAGGGGGCCCTGAGGGGAAGCTGGGGAAGCAGGTGGAAAGGTGGGGGACCCTGGGAAGGCCGGGGGTTGGGGGAAGGCCGGGGGCTGGGGGAAGGCCGGGGGCTGGGGAAAGGCAGGTGGCTGGGGGAAGGGCGGTGGCGAGGGGGTGGCAGAGTGCCCTGGATGCGGTGTTGGTGGCTGAGGAGTTCCAGACCAGGCTGGGAAGGGTGGCAGGGCTCCCCAGGACCCCTGGACACTGAAGGGCCCCTGAGGCGGACAAGGCACCTGCGTCCCAAGAGACAGGTGGCTCCCAAAGTCCACCTGGAGCTTGTGCATCTGCGCCTGCCAGGCCAGGTAGCTGCGTAGGTAGGTGGTGTGCGCGGCGTGCAGGGCCTCAGCCTGCTGTCGCTCGCCGTCCAGGCGCTGGCTGCCCCGCAGCCGGGCCCTCGCATCCTGCTCCCGCTGCCAGTGTGCCCGGCGCTCCCACAGCCTCTGGGGCTTGAAGGTGCTGCCCGCCTTCCTGGCGAAGATCTTGGAATGCTCATCCAGCCACACGAGGCCCGAGAGTAGGCGCGAGGTGTCCGAGTGCCGGACCCCCAGGCTGCTCTCGAGGGGCAGGAAGGGGATGACGCTGTCGTAGCGGCCATTGTGCGTGAAGCTGCTCATCAAGGCCTGGTTGACCTGGTGCAGGCTCAGGGCATTGTCGAAGTTGGGGGTCATGAGCAAGATGACGAAGCCGGAGTGGTCGATGGCATCCTGCAGGCAGTGGAGCTCCCCGCGCCCGGGCACCTGGAAGTCCTCGCAGAATGTGGCGCCATCGGGGACGCCCAGGGCCTCCAGCCTCTCCCGGACACGCAGGGCCACCTCTTCATCCGCCAAGGCGTGGAGGACCACGAAGTTATAGAACTGTTCCGTGGCATCCGACGAGAAGGACGAAGGGCAGGGCTCGCAGGAGGAGGCTGGCAGCACCGCGGCGGGGCTGGAGGATGGGGAAGGGGCAGGAGTGGGGGGAGGCAGGGAGGACTCCGGGGCCAAGGACACCGGCGGGCTCGAGCTGCCTTCTTGTGATGTGGGTTCTCCCGCAGAAATTGGGGCTGCCTTCTGGTTCTTGACAGGGCAAAAACTTTCTGTGGGTTCCAGGTTGGGCGAGGAGAGAGATTTGGGGGCTGTGGAGTCCTCCGTGCACTCCACCGGGAAATGGGCACTGGCCTTGGGAGCAGAGGGGGAGTCGTCCAGAGGGGGAAGGCCCTGAGAGAGTGGGTCGCGGATCTCGGAGGCGAGAATCCTCAGTGAGTCTGGGGACACCGTGATCTCAGCTGAAGGGGGCCAACTCATCTCCTGGGGCTCCAGGCCACCTGTGGGCACAGGCGCAGGCCCCGGGGGCTGCTCACAGAGCTTGCTGGGCCCGGGGGTACCGCGGGGCTGGCTAAGGACGGCCATGGTAGGTGACTGGCTGATTTCCAGGTCGCTGGCCAGGGAGGCCGGGCTGCCCGTGGAGCGCAGGGAGCATGCGCGGCTCCAGTCCTCGATGGGGCGCGGAAGGCTCCGGGACCTCGATGCCAGTGCTGATGAGGGTGGCAGGGGACCCTCATTGGAGCAGAGAGGCTGGAAGTCCCCCGTGTCCCCAAGGACGTCCCACCCACAGCGGTCCCAGGCCTCCCCCTGAAGCTCCCCCAGCCTTGGGTCCCCACAGGAGCTGAGGGCCTGGTGTGCCGCCTGGTAGGCTGCATCCCTCAGGGTGGCTGGGCACAGCCTCTCCTCAGCCAGCAGGTCGTACAGGCGGGCGATGCCCCAGGACACATCCGCAGGCTCCTCGGTGGCCTCAGCACTGTCCACACCGGCCCACTGGCGGGCCACAAGCCTGGCCATAGCATCGGTCTTGGAGGCATCCAGCAAGACCCGGGCCTCCGTGTCCCGGCCAAGCTGCAGCAGCACCATGGCATGGAGGAGGCTGGCACTGCGGTGGCCCTTGTACACTGTCTGCAGCTTGTGTCGCAGGATGACCAGCTTTTCCCTCCCAGAGGCAGCTAGGAGGTCAAAAGCACCAGGCAGCGTTGGGCCTGGGCAGGCCATGGGGGTGGGAGGGTGCAGCTGTGGGCAGCAGAGGCTGCAGTGGTGGCGACATGTTCTGGATGGCCACCTCCTGCTCACCGGTGACACTTTTCACTGTGCCAAGGTCCAAGCAGATGACCTAGGAAAACCTGCAGAGACAGGAGGAGCCTAGCTGACCACCAGGGCAGCAAAAGCCAGGGATGGCAGCATGTGCCTGTTACCTCAGCACTCAAGAGGCTGAGGCATGAGGATCTCTGGGAATTTGAGGTCAACCTGGGCTACATAGTGAGTTCTAGTTAAGTCTTAACTACATAGAGAGACCCTGTCTCAAAATAACACTGGGTGGGCTGGTGAGATGGCTCAGTGGTCTAAAGCACCTACTTAGAACAAGCTTAGCAAAGCACAAGGGACCACGGTTCAATCCCCCAACACCACATGCCAGCCAGCCTGCCCCCTGGTGGGCTGAGCTGGTCACATACACATACAATAAATAAATAAATATAAAATAAAAATTAAAAATTAAAAAAAAAAAAAAAAACCCACTGGGTATGGTGAAAAGCCAAGCTAGGTCCTTGCAGCTGGTGTGCTCTGTCCCCAAGCTTCCCTGGTGACTTTACACTTATCATTCAAGGCTCAGGTACAATGACACTGTATCACAGGCATGTGCAAAGGTTCTGCCTGTCTCTTCCCTGTCACCTCTCTGTCCAGTTGTCACCACTGCAGACTTCCCCCTTAAATGTGAATTGGGGGCTGGCGAGATGGCTCAGTGGTCTAAAGGGGGCTGGCGAGATGGCTCAGTGGTCTAAAGCACCTACATGGAACAAGCTTGGCAAAGCACAGGGACCATGGTTCGATCCCCCAGCACCACATGCCAGCCAGCCTCGCCCCCTGGTGGGCTGAGCTGGCCACACACGCACACACACACACACACAATAAATAAATAAATGTTTAAAAAAATAAAAAAAAAATGTGAATTGTGTGTGTGTGTGTGTGTGTGTGTGTGGTGCTAGAGGCGCCCCAGGACCTTTGCACATGCTAGGCCAGTGCTCACCACGGAACCACACCCCAGATGTGAACTTGCCTGCAGGTTAAATCTGTCACATTTTCTGTCTGACTCCCAGCACCCTATGGGCACCTGATGGCAGAGGCTGGTCATGCTCACATAGCTGGGAGGCCAGAACACAGTGGAAGTAGCTAGCAAGGAACAGGTGGGCAGGTGGGTAAGTGGAAGGACAGAGGGCTGAATGGTGAGTGACTGGAGGATGGGTGAGAGAATGCACAGATGAACGTGGCCCGCAGTGCTGTCCCTGGGAAGACTGGGGCCCAGAGAAGTCTTTTCTCCAGAACACTCACAAGCCCCTGCGCAGGACCCACGGCCCTGGTCAGCCCCTTCCAGGAACTAAGTTCTCTCGTCCACTTCTCAGCCTGGCTAGGCTGATCCCTGCTGCTTGTCCCTGCCCTGGTTCCCACCATGGGACAGGGTGGGGAGGGAAGGATGGCAGCTGGGCCACCCAGAGGAGAACTGCACCGCTCCAAATCACAAATTTTTAAGAGATCTTGTAAGATTTAAAAAAAAAAGGGGGGGGGGCGGGGAGATGGCTCAGTGGAATAAGCGCTTCCCTGGCAAGTGCAAGGGCCTGAGTTCAATCCCCGGTTCCACCAAAAAAAAAAAAAAAAAAAAAAAAAAAAAAAAAAGGAAAAGAAAAGAAAAGAAAAAAAAGTTCAAGGGCTAGCCAAATAGCTCATTGGATTAAAGTGCCTGCAAGCAGGCACAGGGGCTAAGGGTTCAATCCCAGGCCTGTCCTTCCCCGCCCCCAGGGTGTGCTGAGACAACAATTGAGACTGGGCGTGGTGACCCGCACCTGTACAACTCTTGGGAGGCTATAAACAGGTGAATCACTAGGAGTTGGCTCATCTGCCGTCATACCACCCTGAACGTGCCCAATCTTCTCTTAATTTTGGGTTTTTTTTATTCCAATTTTTTCATTCATTCTTTCGGTTTTTTTTTTTAAACATTGATTGATTGATTGATTGATTGATTGAGTGTGTGTGTGTCTGTCCAGCTCAGCCCACCAGGGGGCGGGGCTGGCTGGCATGTGGGGCTGGGGGATTGAACCGCGGGCCTTGTGCTTTGCTAAGCTTGTTCTAAGTAGGTGCTTTAGACCACTGAGCCATCTCACCAACCCCGCCCAATCTCTTCTGATCTCGGAAGCTAAGCAGGGTCAGGCCTGGTTAGTACTTGGATGGGAGACTAGAAATCCGATCTAGTAGTGAGGCCCTGAACACCCTGTAGACCCTTCCCCCCCCCAAAAAAAAAGAAGGAAAGAAAGAAAAACGTTCAGCTAAGTGGTGGCATGCTCCTGTCATACGGCACTGTGAGAGGTTGCGGCAGGAAGATCCCAAGCTTAAGCTCAGCCTAGGCAACGTACCAAGACCCTGTTTCAAGATAAATAATAAAATAATAATAATAATAATAATAATAATAGCAGAGGATGTAGCTCAGTGCAGCGGCCCTGGGTTCAGTATCAGGGACTGGGGAAAACTCAGATCTCTGCGCTGCCAGCAGCAGTGTCGAGTGAGGACGTGTGGTCCGCCTCTCCGCCAACGTGGAGCGCACGAGGTCTGTGTTCGTGACTCCCACGGAAGAGAAGCGGTCGGCCACACTGAGCAGACAGGAATGGGGGGCGGGGGTCCGAGCGCTAAAGTGCTCTTCCTGACCAACAGAAGCACCCAGAGCTTAAGGCTCGGCTCTGCCTGCTCCTGCTGTCGCCGTCCCTCCGTGCAGCCCCGGGCACGGGACCACGGCCTCTGCGCTGAGCTCCGGCCCAGCCGTCTTGGCGCGGAGACAAGTCTCGCTAAAGGGCCGGACTGGGCTTGAGCTTTCGATCCTCCTGCCTCAGCCTCTAGGGTGCTGTAATCCCAGGTGTGCGGCTGCTTCTGTAACCCGGACTGGGATGGGGGGTGGGGGTCCCTTGTCCCTGCAGCCGCATAGCCTGCCGCGTGTGCCCACACTGCGCCCTCCAGGGCTGCCCTGCACCGCCAGCATAGGCCAGGGCAGGCGAGGCCTCCGCCTTACGCCTCCAGCAGCGCGGTCCAGGGGAGCAGGAGGAACCGAGACAGCAAGCCCAGAGCCTCTTGGGAGCGCAGAGGGCACAACGGAAACGAGCCCCGCCGCGTGTGTACGCTGGGCTCCAGGAGCGAGCTGGGCAGGGACGGCTGGATGCTGCGGCGAAGACTCCAGGCAGTGCACGCGGCCTCGCGGGGGTCGGGGGTCGGGACGGCACGCCTGCCGCTCTGCAGGGGGACCTGGGCTGGGGGAGCCCGGAGGGCTGCGGGCAGCAGGCCGGGAGGACCAGACCGGCGCTCGCGACACCCCCTGATGGCCGCTGCGGGGAGCGCAGGTCAAAATTAGGAGCAGGGGTCATCTGGCGGAGGGGCCTGAGCTACCCCGGGGACGATGACACGATGACAGAGGGTCCCTCGGAAGGGTGAGGACCTGGCTGGGGACAATGCGGACAGGAAGCCCTGGACTCCGGCCCCAAATGGGGCCGTGGCACGCGCCGAGCTGAGTCCAGGAGGGAGACTCCTCCCTCCTCTCCCTCCTTGCCTGCTACATAATCAGTCAGACAAGCACCGCCCAGGACCTTTGCACTTGCTAGGCCCCAGCCTGGCACACCCTTTCCCAGAAATCGGTCGCTGCCGTGAGCCTTCGCTCCCAGCCACCTCGGAGGCTGGCTAGACCTCACACCCGTGCGTCCCCACCGGGCTTTCCTCGCTCCCCTCCTGTCTTGCCCTTGCTACTGCACGCGCACCTCTCAGGGGCCTCTGGGGATAGAGCAGAGAAAAGGCGCTGCCAGGTCTGTGGCTTGTCCCTAGAGTGCCAGGCACACAGTGGGTGCCTAATCCATGCTGACTGGATAAACACAACACGCAGGGCAGTGCCTGACACAGTAGGTACTTAATAAATGCCACATGTTAACTGAGCCAAGTGATACAGAAGAACAGTACCTAGTTTCACAGCAAGCACTCAGTTACTTCCTGCCTCTAAGTCCCCCCTCCCAACAAGAAGCCAATTTGTACCCACCCCCACCAGCACTAGCATATTGTAGGGGTGCAACTTGCCCCCTCTGGCTCAAAAGAAATGTTCCAAGGCGACATGGAAAGCATAACTGGCTAGATGCCTGCGATGCTTGTAATCAGTGTGAGAAATGAACTGGGCCTGGTGGGGCACCCCTGTAATCCCAGCACTGGGGAGACTGAGGTGGGGGGATCATAGCCAGATCAAGGTCAATCTGGTCAACATAGAGTTCAAAAGCCAGCCTCAAAATAGATTAGATAAAAGAATCAATGTTGGGCCAGCCAAATAGCTCAGGAGGGGGTGGGGTGGGGTTGAGGAGGTGGGGGGTGGGGTGGGGTCCCCAGGCCTGCTGTGCCAGCCCGTGGCCCGGTCCCCAGGGCGCACTGAGAGGGCAATTGAGATGGTGTGGTGGCACCCATCTGTAATCCCAGCTCTTTGGAGTGCTGTAAACAGGCGGATCACTACAAGTCCAATCTAGTAGTGAGACCCTAAACACCCTGTAGGCCCTTCCCTAAAATACAAAAAAAAAAAAAAAAAAAAAAAATCAATGTGAAGAGACAGAAGGGGTCCGGCATGGTGGTGCATCTCTATAAACCCAGCACCCAGAAGACTGAGGCAGGACAGTCGCCATGAGTTCAAGGACAGCATCGATAACAAAGTAAATTCAAGGCGTTTGAACTACAGAGCAAAACCCTGTCTCAGAAAAATAAATAAACAAAAAATAGAAAAATAAGGGCTGGGGATATAGCTCAGTGGCGCAAACAATTGCCTACCAGTTCAATTACCAGTACCAAAAAATATTCTTTTTCTTTCTTTCTTTCTTTCTTTCTTTCTTTCTTTTCTTTCTTTCTTTTTTTTTTTTCCCCCCCTGTGGTACCAGGGATTGAACTGAGGACCTTGCTCTTGCCAGGCAAGCACTTATTCCACTGAGCTATCTCCCTGGCCCCAAAAAATGTTTTTTCAAAAAATTAAAAAAATAAACAGAAAGGGCATTCATTCAGTACAAATTTATTAAAGACCTGTTAAGTACCAAGCAAAACGAACCCAGGGTCTTCACACTGAGCTCCATGCCCAGCCCCTTTTATATTTTTATTTTGAGACAGGGGCTCACTAAGTTGATAAACTGCCGGGCTAGGCTCAACTTGTGAGCATCCTGCCTCAGCCTCCCAGACTGCTGCTACACAAGCTGGGATCTCCGCTGTTTGAACTGTTTGGTTTGCACTCCGACTGTGGCAGAGACATCTCCGCCCGGGGCCGGAGGAGCAGGAGTTTACACTGGAAAGCCTGGCTCCGGGGCTCCGGTGCGGCTGCACTGAGCACCTACTACGCGCAAGCTCCCCAAATCAGGCCGCATCACCTGCCCCTACCGTGTGCCCAGGGTCAGACCACGTCTAGGGTCACAGCAGGCGCCCTGTAAGTGCTGACAGTGAATCAATGAGAGATGTCGCCGCCTCTTCCGGATGCTGCGGCCTCACCCCCATCCCAGGGCGGGACGGAGACCCGGGTCCCCAGCTTAGCCCAAGGCGCTCCCGCCCCTACCTCGGCTGCAAGAATAAAGGGGAGGGTACTGGAGGAGAGGGGACAGGGCCGGCAGGACCACTGGGACCCGGGGAAAGCTGGGGTCCGCAGGGTGGGCAGAGCCGAGAAAGGGAGCACCGAGGCCCAGGACGGGTTCTTAGGAGAGAGGGGGTGCAGGGCAAATCGGGAGGCGGGAGAGGGACCCAGAGTCCTCGGGATCCGGATCCCAGTGGACTTGGGTGTTGGAACGAGTTGGGGCATTGGGATCGGGCCGCAGCATGGTCCTGGCTGTTGGGGTTCGGCGTAGGGACCGAGGACCGGACCTGGCTGTGCGGAGCACCCCCCTCCCCGGGTCCCCAGCTCGCGCGGTCCCCTCCGCAGTCCCCCGTCACCTACCGGCCAGAGCTGCGTCCTCCGCTCGCCTGCGCGGAGGCAGGGCTGGGATGCCGGAGAGGAGGAGGCGCCGCCCCTTCCGCGTCCTGCGTCGCAGAGAGGAGTGAAGTCACTCCGGACCCAGGCGGGGAAAATCCCCGAGGGGCCCCTGAGAGCCAGGCTGGGCAAATCTGAGCGTCTGCTGTGGCGGGGATCCAAGGGGCAGTGGAGGGAGGACCCAGTCTGCGACTTGGACTTGGCACACTCCGGAGCTTTGGGACCCCCCAAAGGTGCATTTAACGCACCTGATCAAACTTTAGTGAGACCAGGGGCCAGAGCAGACAGACCGTTAGACACCAAGGGCCGCCCATGCCTTCAGGCCCACTAGGATTTATTTTTTTCCAGTACTGGGTTTGAACCCAGGGTCCGGCACTGAGCACCATTCTGTAGCCCTTTTTATTTTATTTACAGTAGGGTCTCAGTAAGTTGCACAGGCTGGCCTCCAACTTGGGACCCTGCCTCAGCCTCCCAGAGC